GCACCCCCGCCCCTTCAGATGGCACTGCTACCCCTGCCCTTTCAGATGGCACTGGTACCCCCGCCCCTTCAGATGGCACTGCTATCCCCGCCCCTTCAGATGACACTGCTATCCCCCGCCCCTTCAGATGGCACTGCTAGTCCCCCGCCCCTTCAGATTGCATTGCTATCCCCCGCCCTTCAGATGGCACTGCTATCCCCCCGCCCTTCAGATGGCACTGCTATTCCCCGCCCTTTTCAGATGGCATTGCTATCCCCGCCCCTTCAGATGGCACTGCTACCCCCCGCCCCTTCAGATGGCACTGCTACCCCCGCCCCTTCAGATGACATGCTGCCCCGGCCCCTTCAGATGGCACTGCTATCCCCCGCCTTCAGATGGCACTGCTATCCCCCGCCCTTCAGATGGCATGCTACCCCCTGCCCTTCAGATGGCACTGGTGCCCCGCCCCTTCAGATGGCACTGCTATCCCCCGCCCCTTCAGATGACACTGCTGCCCCCGCCCTTCAGATGGCACTGCTACCCCCCGGCCCTTCAGATGGCACTGCTACCCCCCGGCCCCTTCAGATGGCACTGCTACCCCCCGCGCTCTTCAGATGGCACTGCTATCCCCGCCCCTTCAGATGGCACTGGCTATCCCCCGCCCCTTCAGTGGCACTGCTACCCCCCGCCCCTCAGATGGCACTGCTATCCCCCGCCCTTTCAGATGGCACTGCTATCCCCGCCCTTCAGATGGCACTGCTATCCCCGCCCTTCAGATGGCACTGCTATCCCCCCCCCCTTCAGATGGCACTGGTGCCCCGCCCCTTCAGATGGCACTGCTATCCCCCGCCCTTCAGATGACACTGCTATCCCCCGCCCCTTCAGATGACACTGCTATCCCCGCCCCTTCAGATGACATGCTATCCCGCCCTTCAGATGGCACTGCTACCCCGCCCCTTCAGATGGCACTGCTATCCCCGCCCCTTCAGATGGCACTGCTACCCCCGCCCCTTCAGATGGCACTGCTATCCCCCGCCCCTTCAGATGACCTTGCTATCCCCCGCCCCTTCAGATGACCTGCTATCCCCCGCCCCTTCAGATGACACTGCTATCCCCGCCCCTTCAGATGACACTGCTATCCCCGCCCTTCAGATGACACTGCTATCCCCGCCCCTTCAGATGGCACTGCTATCCCCGCCCCTTCAGATGACACTGCTATCCCCCGGCCCCTTTCAGATGCACTGCTATCCCCGCCCCTTCAGTGACACTGCTATCCCCCGCCCTTCAGATGACACTGCTATCCCCCGCCCCTTCAGATGACACTGGTATCCCCGCCCCTTCAGATGACACTGCTATCCCCCGCCCCTTCAGATGACACTGCTATCCCCGCCCTTCAGATGACACTGCTATCCCCGCCCCTTCAGATGACACTGCTATCCCCCGCCCCTTCAGATGGCACTTGCTATCCCCGCCCCTTCGGGATGACACTGCTATCCCCGCCCCTTCAGATGACACTGCTATCCCCCGCCCCTTAGATGACACTGCTATCCCCCGCCCTTCAGATGACATGCTATCCCCCGCCCCTTCGATGACACTGCTATCCCCCGCCCCTTCAGATGACACTGCTATCCCCCGCCCCTTCAGATGACACTGCTATCCCCCGCCCCTTCAGATGGCACTGCTGTCCCCCGCCCCTTCAGATGGCACTGCTATCCCCCGCCCCTTCAGATGGCACTGGTGCCCCCGTGATGGATATTGCAATTTGGACAAAAGAATGGATAATAAATTTTACCTCTATGACCATTTAACAACCGCAATGAATTTCCCTTCATACATTTTCGCGTTTCCAGAAGAGTGCGTTATGCGTTGTTGGTGACTGTTGTTCCCTCGTGCGTTGTTGGTGTCTGTGTTGTTCCCTCGTGCGTTGTTGGTGTCTGTGTTGTTCCCTCGTGCGTTGTTGGTGACTGTGTTGTTCCTCGTGCGTTGTTGGTGACTGTGTTGTTCCCTCGTGCGTTGTTGGTGACTGTGTTGTTCCCTCGTGCGTTGTTGGTGTCTGTGTTGTTCCCTCGTGCGTTGTTGGTGACTGTGTTGTTCCCTCGTGCGTTGTTGGTGACTGTGTTGTTCCCTCGTGCGTTGTTGGTGACTGTGTTGTTCCCTCGTGCGTTGTTGGTGACTGTGTTGTTCCCTCGTGCGTTGTTGGTGACTGTGTTGTTCCCTCGTGCGTTGTTGGTGACTGTGTTGTTCCCTCGTGCGTTGTTGGTGTCTGTGTTGTTCCCTCGTGCGTTGTTGGTGACTGTGTTGTTCCCTCGTGCGTTGTTGGTGTCTGTGTTGTTCCCTCTGCGTTGTTGGTGACTGTTTTGTTCCCTCGTGCGTTGTTGGTGACTGTGTTGTTCCCTCGTGCGTTGTTGGTGACTGTGTTGTTCCCTCGTGCGTTGTTGGTGACTGTGTTGTTCCCTCGTGCGTTGTTGGTGACTGTGTTGTTCCCTCTGCGTTGTTGGTGACTGTGTTGTTCCCTCGTGCGTTGTTGGTGACTGTGTTTTTCCCCTCTGCGTTGTTGGTGACTGTGTTGTTCCCTCGTGCGTTGTTGGTGACTGTGTTGTTCCCTCGTGCGTTGTTGGTGACTGTGTTGTTCCCTCGTGCGTTGTTGGTGTCTGTGTTGTTCCCTCGTGCGTTGTTGGTGACTGTGTTGTTCCCTCGTGCGTTGTTGGTGACTGTGTTGTTCCCTCGTGCGTTGTTGGTGACTGTTGTTCCCTCGTGCGTTGTTGGTGACTGTTGTTCCCTCGTGCGTTGTTGGTGACTGTGTTGTTCCCTCGTGCGTTGTTGGTGACTGTTGTTCCCTCGTGCGTTGTTGGTGACTGTGTTGTTCCCTCGTGCGTTGTTGGTGACTGTGTTGTTCCCTCGTGCGTTGTTGGTGACTGTGTTGTTCCCTCGTGCGTTGTTGGTGACTGTGTTGTTCCCTCTGCGTTGTTGGTGGCTGGGTTTTTCCCTTGTGTGGTGATGACTGTGTTATCTCCCTGTGCATTGGTGACTGTGTTTTCCACTTGTGTGATGGTGACTGTGTTGTCCCCTTGTGTGCTCGTGGTGACTGTGTTGTCCCCTTGTGTGCTGGTCACTATCATGTCTTCTTGTGCGTTGGTGGTGACGGTCTTGTCCTCTAGAAGTCCCTTTTTAACACCAACATAACCCAAGGAAATGAACGGCCACATGCCCATTTTGGCGCTGCTGCAAGGATTTCACTCTTTAACAGACTTCAGCCTTCAAGTGGACCACATACGATCCTTGGGAAATGGCAGCCCTGGTGGGCTCTACAGACCAGCAACAGGTTATACCGTGTCCAGCAAGACGTGGAATCGTCACTCTGAGACAAATCTCTATCGAATGAGGATCGAACGCACACATCTCACCCATAACCGCCTCTTCGCAGGTGCTACTGCCTCCCTCTCTGTAGCTTCTCAACGTACTACTGAGTGTGGATCATATTTTATCACTTTTCCAACCACTAAGATCGTTCCACCTTCACCATGGTTATTGTAATAACATTCTATTTTTTTTAACTATCGCTGGTTATTTTGACGGTGTTATTGTATTTTACTCACGTTTCACCTTCCCAGGGGTGACTAAAGTAACCCGTTGGTGACTCTGGTGACTCCTGGAAGCCTCGTGTCATCCTACCAGGGGTGACTAAGGAAGACAACGCTGTCTTCTACTCCCAGAGATAACCGTAGTCTTGAGACCACAAGTGAAGTCAGTATTGCCTTCTCCTCCCAAATATTACTGTAGTCCTGAGACCACAAGACAGCATTGTCTTCTCCCAAATATTACTGTAGTCCTGAGACCACAAGACAGCATTGTCTTCTCCCAGATATTACTGTAGTCCTGAGACCACAAGACAGCATTGTCTTCTCCCAAATATTACTGTAGTCCTGAGACCACAAGACAGCATTGTCTTCTCCCAAATATTACTGTAGTCCTGAGACCACAAGACAGCATTGTCTTCTCCCAAATATTACTGTAGTCCTGAGACCACAAGACAGCATTGTCTTCTCCCAAATATTACTGTAGTCCTGAGACCACAAGACAGCATTGTCTTCTCCCAGATATTACTGTAGTCTTGAAAACACAAATGAAGACAACATTGTCTTCTCCTCCCAGATATTACTGTTGACTTGAGAACACAATTCAAGTTGAACACACTATACTGGAGGCGGAAGTGATCACGCAATAACAAGTCAATAATTGTTCATGTTGACCGACCCATTGTTCATCTTCAAGATGTTCTCCTTTAAGAACACAGACGGAAATTATACGAAAGAGAGATGCACAAGAAATAAGAGAATGCATACGTAGTTACTGAGAAAGTAAATGTAATAAGTGAGAAAGTACCCGTAATTAAAGAGAAATGGATAAAAGAGAAAGTGAAACAGCCAAAGTATAACTGTGAGACAGTGAGGAAGTGTGTGTGCGACATTGATAATGTGTGTGAGACAGTGAGAATGTGTTTGAGAGACAGTGAGAAAGTGTGTGTGGGAGGGAAGTGAGAGAGTGTGCGCGAGACAATGAGAAAGTGTATGCGGGAAAATGAGAAAGTGTGTGAGAGATAGTGAGAAAGTGTGGAGAGACAGTGAGAAAGTGTGTGTGTGAGGGTGAGAAAGTGTGTGAGAGATAGTGAGAAAGTGTGTGAGAGACAGTGAGAAAGTGTGTATGAGGGTGAGAAAGTGTGTGAGAGATAGTGAGAAAGTGTGTGAGAGACAGTGAGAAAGTGTGTGTGAGGGTGAGAAAGTGTGTGAGAGATAGCATATGAAAGATCTTACCCAAGAATAAGACAATCCTCACGATGCATATACAAAGAGATGTTTGTATATTTTGTCTGTATACATATACATACACTGCGTAAATACTGCATTTCATAGGAGCTTAACAAACTAACAGTCTTAATCTCTCTCTCTCTCTTCTCTCTCTCTCCTCTCTCTCTCTCTCTCTCTCTCTCTCTCTCTCTCTCTCTAACACTAAAGATAACTCACGTAGAAATCAGGGCTGGCCACAGCAGTGAGGTTGAGGAGGTGGTGGCCTTGGTAGAGGCTGGCCTGGAGGTGGAAGTGTTGAGGTAGACCTCCGCTGGAGCCAGCCTCACACCTCACCCTCACGGAGGTCTGAGTACCGTCTCCCACGCGACACTCACCTGGCGCCTCAGGCTTACCTGCGGGAGACCACGGAACTGACAGCTGGAGAAGAGTTAAACCTGAGTGCTTCCAACTTGACAGGACGGAGAATCGAGCCTCCATCACTGTTTGTGCTGAGTGATTTACATTTTTATGTCATTTCACATGAGAAAAATATAAAAATCGCAATAATAATAATAATAATAATAATAATAATAATAATAATAATAATAATAATAATAATAATAATAATAATAATGTAAATAATAATGATAATATAATTTAAATAATGATAATAATAATAATAATAATACAATTATAATAATATAATGTAAATAGTAATGCCAGTATAATTTAAATAATAATAATAATAATAATAATAATAATAATAATAATAATAATAATAATAATAATAATAATATATAATAATATAATATAATAATATATAATATAATAATAATATATAATATAAATATAAATAATAATAATAATAATATATATAATAATAATAATAAATAATAATAATAATAATAATAATATAATTATATAATAATATAATAATAATAATATAATAATAATAATAATAATAATAATATATAATAAATAATAATAATAATATAATAATAATAATAATAATAATATAATAATAATAATAATATATAATAATATGATAATAATAATAATAATAATAATAATAATAATAATAATAATAATAATAATAATAATAATAATAATAATAGTAATAATAATAATAATAATATTAATAATAATAATAATTATATAATAATAATAAAATAATAAATAATAATAATAATAATAATAATAATAATATATAATAATAATAATAATAATATAATATATAATATAATAATATAATAATAATAAAAATAATAATAATAATATATAATAATAATAATAATAATAATAATAATAATAATATTAATAATAATATTAATACTTGTAGATATTGTTTTAGTAATGATGACTGTGTGTTGTAGTCACGGTACCGTGACAAAGTCCTTACCTCAACTTACCTTAATAAACTAAGCCGCTTTTCACGGCAGTGACCTGCAAGGTTAGATAGCGTGACACAATTTACCGCACGGAGGATCAAACCTCCACCACGGGTTTACCGCTTTCCCCTGGATATATATTCTTACAAGTTACCCGAAGTTTAGGAGTGGCTTACCCGGGGTGTGCTCGGATTATAACTGCCTAGTTTCCTAAGTATAGAGGGAAGAGTTAGTTATATAAACTCTCATAGACACACTTTGATACTAGCATCACTAGTTGCAACAAGAGACAATACAACAACAATTGCAACAGTAGCAGGAACACTACCACCATCAGAAGAGGCACCAGCAACTGCACCACCGCCAACAGCAGCAGCACAACAGCAGCAGCAGTAGCATCGCCAGCATCATCTACACAACAAGAGCAGCATCACTACCAGCACCAGCAACACAACAGAAGCGGTACCAACAGTACCACCACCAGCAGCAACAGCCGCAACAACAGCAGCAGCAGCAGCAGAAGCTGCAACAACAACAATGCCAGCAGCAACATCCGCAATAACAGCAGCAGCGCAACAACGCCAGCAGCAGGAGCTGCAACAACAGGAACAAGAGCTACGATACAGCTGGCCCTCACGTCAGTGATAAAACGCACCTCTTCCTATTCTCATTTCCAAGAAAGTGTTATTACAGGTTTTATATGCAATGATCCGTAACAGAATTTTAAAAGAGACTCCAAGAATACGTTAGACTGAGGGAAAAAAGACCCGGTGGGAAGAATATCCAAGCTGGTACACTTTGTCTTTATGGGAATTTAAAACTAAAACGTGAAATTGTGTTCCAGGGTTGAAAGGAGCATCCATTTGTGTAGTGGATAAGACATATGCAACACCAAGGAATCATTATTTTGAAGACGGTTCCCCATCCAGTGGCTTTTTCAACTTCAATGCAAAAATTATGAACCGGAGAGAGTGGAAGATCAGGTAATGAGTCCCTCAACCTTGATACAATGGTTTTTTTCCAGTGTCGTAGCCTGGACTAAGTGGAAGCTGTGGCTGGAGAAGGGTTTTTGTGTAGTTTTGATGTAGATTTGCTATACAGAAGATAGGCTTTTATAGATTTCGGTTTTTAGGTTATACAGATGAAGTGTTTTATCGCAGCGGATTACAGGCTGTTTTTTTTTTTTTCTCTCTTTTTTTTTTTTTTTGTAAATCTATCTTTTCCTGTCTACCTGGAAATTAAGTAGAGGAGAAAGATCGTTCCTATGTGTGTGTGTGTGTGTGTGTGTGTGTGTGTGTGTGTGTGTGTGTGTGTGTGTGTGTGTGGTGTGTGTGTGTGTGTGTGTGTGTCTGTGTGTGTGTGTGTGTGTGTGTGTGTGTGTGTACTCACCTATTGTACTCACCTATTTGTGGTTTTCAGGGGTCGAGTCATAGCTCCTGGCCCCGCCTCTTCACTGATTGCTACTAGGTCCTATCTCTCCCTGCTCCATGAGTTTTATCATACCTCGCCTTAAAACTATGTATGGTTCCCGCCTCCACTACTTCACTTTCTAGGCTATTCCACGGCCTGACTACTCTATGACTGAAGAAATACTTCCTAACATCCCTTTGATTCATCTGAGTCTTCAACTTCCAATTGTGACCTCTTGTTTCTGTGTACCATCTATGGAACATCCCGTCTTTGTCCACCTTGTCTATTCCGCGCAGTATTTTATATGTTGTTATCATGTCTCCCTTGACCCTCCTGTCCCCCAGTGTCGTCAGGCCGATTTCCCTCAACCTTTCTTCGTAGGACAATCCCCTTAGCTCTGGGACTAGTCTTGTTTCAAACCTTTGCACTTTCTCTAATTTCTTGACGTGCTTGACCAGGTGTGGATTCCAAACTGGTGCTGCATACTCCAGTGTGGGCCTGACGTAAATGGTATACAGAGTCTTGAACGATTCCTTACTGAGGTATCGGAATGCTATCCGTAGGTTTGCCAGACGCCCATATGCTGCAGCAGTTATCTGGTTGATGTGCGCTCAGGAAAATGTCGTGTTATACTCACCCCAACTTTTTCCTGAGTGAGTTTGACAGTTTGACCCCTAGACGTACTCGTCTGCGCCTTCTTTGCCCTTCCCAATCTTCATGACTTGCACTGGGGTTAACTCAGGAGCCATTGCTGGACCAGGCTGCAGCCTGTCCAGTCCCTTGTAGTCCCTGCCTCGATCGTACATGATCTCTCATAACTTCACAGTCATCTGCAAACAGGGACACCTCTGAGTCTATCCTTCCGTATGTCGTTCACATATACCAAAACAGCACTGTCCTAGGACTGACCCTGCGGGACCCCGCTGGTCACAGGTGCCCACTCTGACACCTCCCACGTACCATGACTCGCTGCTGTCTCCTGACAAGTGGAACTGTGTCAAACGCCTTCTTGCAGTCCAAGAAAATGCAAACCACCCACCCCTCTCTCTCTTGTCTTACTGCTGTCACCATGTCATAGAACTCCAGTAGGTTTGTGACACAGGATTTCCATTCGTCCTGGCCTTCCTGCTTCTCCCTCCACTTGTAGCTCTACTGTGTGTTTGTGTGTGTGTGTGTGTGTGTGTGTGTGTGTGTGTGGGTGTGTGGTGTTGCGTGCGTGTGTGTGTGTGTGTGTGTGTGTGTGTGTGTGTGTGTGTGTGTGTGTGTGTGTGTGTGTGTGTGAGACATTGTATATCCAACTGCCAATATTGTTCGTGTGTGTATTGTTGATGTTCGCATTTAGTTGCGAAATCCTGGATCAAGGTGAGGAGGGGAGACATATTCCTCCCGCATGACTTACACTCTGCCGTCTGTCAGGGGATCCAGGTGGAAAACTAAGACAAGGAACTAAATCCAGGGAGCGAAACGCCCACCAAAACTGCCGACCGAAACGATCTGTGACTGTTATTTGTATGAACTGTTATCTCTGTTCCTCTCCATTTCTAATACTTATGCCAGATCAACGAGGCTGTGATGGATATGTGGGTCAGGGGGCCTCCAGCAGCAACAGCCTGGTTGACAAGGCAAGCACCAGACAAGCCTGGCCCATGGCCGGCCTCTGGGAGTAGAAAGACTCTCGAAACTCATCAAAGGTATAATGGTTGACAAACTTTGAGTATTAACTTTCTCTTGAATGATCTGCTCTGCCTGGCATAATACACAGTCTTGTACGTGATGCTGCGTCGCTGTTGATGCACCTACATTATATACACAAATAATCTGCACATAGGCAAGGAAAACTTATGATTACGTTTCGGTCCGACTTGGCCTATTAGGATGACGTTTCGGTCCGACTTGGCATATTAACTAGTCGTACAGAAGCACGAAGGGAAGGGAGCCGGTATGTATACGAGAGGGGAGCGAGCACGGGAGAACGAAGGAGGTAGTAGAATAAAGGCTAGAAGTAGTGACAGACGTAGTGGAGGTGGTAGTAGCAGCAGCAAAATGGTCCAAGTCGGACCGAAACGTCGTCATAAGTTTGTTTCTCGTATGTGCGGGTTATTTGTTTGTTGTTCCAGTCACGGTATTCCGCCATTTTTATTCTCCCTCGACTCGAGCCTTGGTCAGTCACTACACGCTTAATACAGATATAACAATCACGTGAACCTCACCTGCGGGTTCGATGTGGAAGACGCAGGGTTCCTTCTGGGCACCGATCTCGTTGGCTGCCCAGCACAGCAGAGTACCATAGTCGAGGGCCGTCATTGGGGTGTATGTGATGACACTGTGGCTGCTGAGAGAAGTGAAGCGTCCCTGTGGCACATCGATGGTGTCCGCAGTGTTATTGAACGTCCACTGGAAGGACTCTTGCACGGGGTTAGCGTCCACCGAGCATGTCACCTCGGCATCCTCGTAGCGTCCTACAGCGTACGTGGTCACTTGCCCGGGCGAGCAAACTGGCGCGTCTTAATCAAGGGAGAAAAACGAGAGGTATAATATAAACTATTAACGTTAAAAAGAGTAAAAATCAGAGTAATGTGGAAGAAAAAAACACAATTAACAAGTTGTGGGAAAAAGTTTAGACCTGAGTATATTTTGTGTTGAGTAAATTCGTTAGGATTTCATTTAGTGTTACTGTATCCGTGTTTTATCTACCTGTTGGAGGAGTTGCGGAGTTTTGTTATTGGTCAGCAACATGATTTAGGTATGTTCGACATACCTACGTTTGTGTTATGTATATAAAGTTTTAAATAAAATATAAAAATATTAAACCACAACGAAAAAAAACAAATTGTTTCTCTCCATAATGGACCACAATGAAGTCATTTTGGGACTGATAAGGGTCCAGAACAGACCGAAGTATCGTCTTTATCTGCAATATGTGGATTGTGAGGCTACAGACGTTACGCTGCTGGGGCTCAGATGAAAGGTAAACTCGACAGACTGTGTAAACAATACATCCCACTGGAAAGCTTCTGAGAGAGAAGCATTTGTAAAATATTCTCCAGTATTAACGCTCTCTTGGCACTAGTCCACAAGCCAGCGGGTATACGCAGCTCTGTACACACACACACACACACACACACACACACACACACACACACACACACACACACACACACACACACACACACACACACACACACATACACACAAATACATTGTGGTTGAGAGAAGGCTGCTGGAATTGATAACATACAAGGTTAGTAAAGCTGAAAGGGAGATGGAGTTTGTATTGGATAATCTGTAGGCGAGACTGTACCATATTTGAGAGAATTTCAGGAAATTTGAAAGGATTCTGTATGAAAGGAGACGGATGGGAGGAGCAGACAGTGCAAGACGGAGATAATAAGACCGAAGAGGAAGTGGACGACAGTGGTGAAACTTTTGTCGAAATGTAAAGAAATGAAAATTAATGCAATATAAGAGAAAATGATGGATTACCATTGCATTGAACGGGGAACGCTAAACCCTGTTGGGGATGTTCACTTAGCACGTGGAGGAAAGGGAGGCAATCAGGTTCGGTCCAATGAACGAAAGATCAAGAGCCCCTCGCCGGTATCAGCTCCCTTGAACCAGGGCACTGACTGGTCTTCATGGCACTGACTGGCCTTCATGGCACTGACTGGCCTCCAGGGCACTGACTGGCTTTCATGGCACTGACTGGCCTTCATGGCACTGACTGGCCTTCATGGCACTGACTGGCCTCCAGGGCACTGACTGGCTTTCATGGCACTGACTGGCCTCATGGCACTGACTGGCCTCTGGCACTGACTGGCTCCAGGGCATGATGCTTCATGGCTCTACTGGCCTTCATTGCAGGCAAGACTCTGTGCCAGAGGTGAGTTGAGGATAATTATCTTCAGCTCACCTCTGGCACTGGCACTTATCTTCAGTTATCTTCAAGTCTCTTCTAGACTTATAAGTCTGGCAGAGAGAAGAGATTAGGTAATTAGGTTTCAATTATTTCATCAAAGATCACTAAGGATGAAGGATTGGGGAGCGAGGAGCAGGGACGATCATTCCCAACAAGAGTAACACAAATATGTAATTATAAAAAAAATTGTCAGAAAAATGTGTTTCGTTATGGTGTGCGCCTTGTATGTTACAATTTTTTCGTCTTTCATCACACAACCACTTCTTGCATTACCTCTAACAGCCAAGCTGGCAGTTATGGCGGTGTAGTTGCCAGCTCCTCCCCTCCCCTGACCACCACCACGTTATAATCAACTGGTAAGATTATACGTCATCCAGTCAGGTGAAAAGTTATCTCCAGCCTAATTATTGTTAAACTTACACGACTGCCTGGAGTCAGTTTCTCACTAGCAGGCTGAGTGCACATCCTAGTCTCTCCAGTATAATATGAGTTATAAGCCAATAACTGTGAGCGAATTCAATTTGCTCTCTCATTATTACTCTGATTTGTATTGTATCTGCCTATATTGCTGCTCTGTGGCGCTGTACATGATGTGAATATGAGTGGTGGGAATATACGGGTACTCAAAGAAACTGCCTTCGGTGTTTGCCTTTTCCTTTATTCTCGTGGTTTGTTCTTACCTGGGGACTTAACTGATGGCCAGGTACTACAGGCCTTTATATTTTTACCTGTGTTCGTAATAACTGTGCATTTGTTCACTCTCAGTGTCACTACGTCAATTTTTAATTGTATTATTGTGAGTTGTGCGTGTTAATGTTGTGAAATGAACTGTGTTAAAATGCTGATTTCATGATACATGATGTTGGATATCTGTAAAAAATGGAAAACAAACTTAGGCATGCCTGAATGGCTCCCTTTCAGTGGTTGGCAGATTTCTTTTCCTTTCACGTTTATCATTTATAATTCGAGAACGCCTCATCCAATCGATTTCAAATTTTTAACTCTGGTGTACAATAACCATGGGAAAGCTTCATGTACTTATCAGCATGTGATCGTCCCCTCTGGCAAATTTTATGTAGATAATTTCTGGTTTTGATGTTATTGCGATGACTTAAGAATGCCTTTTCTAATCGGCTTCAAACTCTCATCACCGGTGGATTGTATCTAGAAGATAGTTGGTAATGCTGGCGTATAGGTGCCAATTTGTTGATTGCTAAAGCATTCCTCTTGTAAACGACTTTACATTAGAAACAGACTTAGAGATGCATGCTAAATAGGAAATAGGGATGCGCGAGCTGCATATTCCTGGAAGCTATTGCTTACGTTGCTACATTAAAGATTACTCTGCAAATCTGATAAATTGTGGCAACAATGAAAGTATTAGCATGCCAGAGGAAATACTCGAGCAATAAAACATCTAACTGAAGAACAAGTATGGTGATAACGACAGCATGTAAATAAGAACACGAAAAAAGGGGAACACTGTAGCAGGCCTACTGGCCCGTACTAGGCACTTATACACAGTTTAAGCTAAATCAAAACAGAAAAAATGAAATCTTCTATGGAAACATCAGGGCAGAAGAATGTAATTGACAGAGAGTATAACTGATTATAAGTCGTGAAGTCAAACAAGGATCAGCGCTGGGTCCCATGTTGTTTACTTATGAAATGTTCACTGAAATTGTGTCATGTGTGTCACTTCTGGCGACGCTACGATGAAAGAACAGAACACAAAACAAGAAGAGATAATTGGTAGAACCAGCATCACTCTTAGCTCAACGAGAGCAGAAGGTTTAACGAAAGAAGCAAGCTTAACGAAAGCAGGAAGCTTAACGAAAGCAGCAAGTTTTAATCAATGGTCTCCTGTACAACTGACGCGCCTCCATGAGTTACGGGTTTTCATTGTGTGTGTGTGTACTCACCTATTTGTGGTTGCAGGGGTCGATTCATAGCTCCTGGCCTCTCCTCCTGTGTGTGTGTGTGTGTGTGTGTGTGTGTGTGTGTGTGTGTGTGTGTGTGTGTGTGTGTGTGTGTGTGTGTGTGTCCACTTGTAACTAGCACTCTTTAATATCAATAAAGCTATTCCAGTTGATATGCAAAATATTCAGCATCACACTTACAGTAAGTTTCGTAATCAAGTGCTTCAATAAAAGCTATTTACATCGCAAAATAAATAACTTACTTTTATATAATAATGTTGGTAGAATTACCGACAATATGTTAGGCAAAAGATCACATATCAACTAATGCAATATTTTATTGTGGCGAAGCTCCTGGAGAGCGAGAAGTTGCCACAATAAAATAAGATTAGTTGCACGTGTGTCCTTTTGCATATTTTTTTCTACCAGAACTGGAGTTTAAAAATTAACAGAAACAGTGATGAAGTTGATCAAGATACCGAGACACTCACACAGAACATCAGGCAACGTAAGATAGGGAGGCAGACACGCGTGACACCAACGAACGTAAGATAGGCAGGCAGACACACGTCAGTAACGTCATCGAACGTAAATCAGGCAGGTAGACACACATAATGCACGAACGTTAGACAGGCAGGTAGACACACGTAACATACGAACGTAAGACAGGCAGACAGACACATATAACACGAATGTAAGACAGGCAAACAGACACCACGTAACACTAACGAACGTAAGACAGGCAGGCAGACACATGTAACATCAATGAAAGTAAGACAGGCAGACAGACACACGTAACATCAACAAACATTAGACAGGCAGGCAGGCACAAGTAACTAACATCACGGAACGTACTACACTCAGGCACTCCCATTCAACATAAAGGAACCCAAGATAGCCAGTCACTTACACTTAACGTCGAGTCGGAGAGCATTTGAAACACCATCGCCAACTATGTTGTGAGCGTGACAAGCGTAGCGCCCAGCCTGGGCTCTCACCACACGCTGTAACACTAGACTCTGGTTACTGATGATCACTCCGGCTGACACGTTGTGTACCAGTAC